CTTAATGAAGGAAGTCCAACATCACTTTCAAGTGACACGAGGATAAAAATAAGTGGTGATTAAATGCCTTTTTCAGAACAAATGGCAAAATACAACATACAAGATAATAAGAGCCATAAGATAAAGGAGCAGAAGTAGGCCATTCAGCCATCAAGTCTGTTCTGCCATTCGATCATGGCTGATATGCTTCTCAATCCCATTCTGGGATAATGAGTTCCCAGATTAACCACCCTCTGGCTGAAGACATTTTTCCTAATTTCAGTTCTAAAAGGGTCGTCCTTTCACTTTGTGGTACTAGTTTCCCCCACTAGTGGAAACATCTTCTCCATGTCCACTCCATCCAGACCTCTCGGTATTCTGAAAGTTTGACGTTGTAGATTTGCTCGCTGAGCCGGCGTGTTTGGTTGCAGACGTTTTGCGACCCTGTTAGGTAACATCGTCCGTGCGCCTCCGGTGAAGCATTCGTATTCTGTCTCTCGTTATTTATATGCCTCAGTTTGCTGGGTGGTTGGCATTACAAGTAACAAGCGGGACAGAACACCCATGTTTCACCACAGGTGCATGGACGATGTTCCCTAACAGGATGACAAAATGTCTGCAATCAAACACACTGGCTCAGCGAGCAAATCCTCAACCTATCCACAACCTGAGCTACAAATCTTCTTAAAAAAAACTTTAAAAATTCTGAAATTTTCAATCAGATCCATCTCAATCCTTCTAAACTCCATCGAGTACAGACCCAGAGTCCTCAACCACTCCTGATATGACAAGCCCTTCATCCCCAGGATCATTCTTGCAAACCTCCTCTGAGCCCCCTCCAATGCCAGCACATTCTTGCTTAGATACAGGACCCACAACTACTCTCAATATTCCAAATGCGTCTGATCACAGCCTTATACAGTCTCAGCAGTACATCACTGCTTTTGCATTCTAGCCCTCTTGAAATGAATGCAAACATCGGATTTACCTTCCTAACTGTCAAGTGAACCAGCATGTTAACCTTAACTCAATTCTGAACTAGGACTCTCAAGTCCCTTTGTGCTTCAGATTTCCAAAGCCTTTCCATGTTTACAAAATAGTTTGCGCCTCTATGCTTCCTAACAAAGTGCACAATCTTACACTTTCCTACATTGTATTCCATCTGCCACTTCTCTGCCAACATTTCCAGCCTGTCCAAGTCCTTCTGCAGCCTTCCTGCTCTCTCAACAGCACCTGCCCCTCTAAGTATCTTTGTGCCATTTGCAACCTTCGAAAAAATATCTTCAGTTCCTTCATCTAGATCGTTAACATATAATGCAGTTAGTTGTGGTCCCAACACAGAAACCTATGGTACTCCACTAGTCACCAGTTGGCATCCGAAAGATTCCCCTTTATTCCCACTCTATCTTCTGCCAACCAGTCAATCCTCAACCCATGCTATAACTTGCCCCTAACAGCCTGGGCTCTTCTCATTTAGCAGCTTCTTGTGCAGCACCTTGGCAAAGGCCTTCTGGAAATCCAATTAGATCACATCCACTGGCTCTCCTTTATCTAACTTGTTCGTTATGTCTCAAAAAAAATTCCAATAGATTTGTCAGGTATGACCTCCCCTTGATGAAGCCATGCTGACTCAGCCCTATCTTACCATACACTTTCAAGTACTCTGCAATCTCATTCTCAGTAATGGATTCAAAAATCTTATCAATGACCAGCCTTCAGTTGCCTGTCTTCTGTGCGTCCCCGCACCCTTCTTAAACAGGGATTTTACATTAGCCATTTTCCGGTCCCTTGGGATCCTTCCTGACTCCAGCGATTCCTGAAAGATCACCAATTCCTCCAAAATCTCCTCAGCTATCTCCTTCAGAACTGTGAGGTATAGTCCATCTAGTCCAGGTGATTTATCCACCTTCATACCTTTCAGTTTCCCCAGCACGTTCTCCTTAGTGATGGCCACTACACTCACCTCTGACCCAGATTCTCTTGAAGTTCTGGTGTGCTGGTGGAATATGTACTGATGCAAAGTACATATTCAGTTCCTTCACTATTCCTTCATTCTGTACAACTCATTTTCCAGTATTCAAATGTCCACTCTTGCCTCTCTCTTACCTTTCAGATATCTTAAAAATAAAACTCCTTGCAATCTTCATATTACTATCCAGCTTACTCTTTTGTTTCATCTTTGGCCCCTTTATTGCTCATTTAGTTATCCTCTGCTGGTTTTTAAAAGCTTCCCAATCCTCTGAATTCCCACGAATCTTCACCACACTGTATACTTTTTGGCTTTGATGCTGTCCCTGACTTCCCATGTCAGCTATGGTTGCCTTGTCCTCTCCTTGGTATGTTCAAAAGTCATAGAGTAACACAGCATGGAAACAGGCCCTTCGGCCCAAACTGGTCCATGATGACCATGGTGCCCACTCAGCTAGCTCCAATTGCCCACATTTGGTCCATATCCCTCTAAACCCTTCACACTCATGTGCCTATCCAAATTTTGTTTTTATATGTTGCTATTGTACCTGCCTCAACCACTTTCTCTGGCAGCCCATTCCATATCTGCGTGAAGAAGTTGCCCCCCAGGTCCTTCTTAAATCTTTCCTCTCTCACCTTAAACCTATGCACTCCAGTTTTCAAATCCCAATCCATGGGAAAAAGATGATATGAATTCATCCTATCTACACCCTTTATGATTTTATATATCTCACTAAGGCCACCACTCATTCTCCTATGTTCCAAGGAATAAAGTCGTATCCTGGTCAATCTCCCCCTACAATTCAGGCCTACTAGTCCTGGCAACATCCTCGTAAATCATCTTCACACACCTTCCAGTTTAACTATGTCTTTCCCAGAACAGGGTGACCAAAACTGTACACAATACTCCAAGTGCGGCTTCACCAACGACTCATACAACTGTAACATAATGTCCCAACACCTATACTCAATACCTCAACCGCTGTAAGCCAGTATGCTAAATGCCTTCTTTCACCACCATGTCCACCAGTGACGCCGTTTTCAACCAACTATGTGCTTGTACTCCTGGGTCCCTGTGTTCCACAACACTTCTCAGGACCTTACCATTTACTGTATAAGTCCTGAAGAAGGGTAATACCTGAAACGTTGACTTCTCCTTTCCTCCAGATGCTGCCTGGCTTGCTGTGTTTTTCCAGTCTCCTGTTTGCCTGCCTTGGATTCCAGCATCTGCACTTTTTTTGTCTCTTAACTGTATAAGTCCTACCTTGGTTTGACTTTTCCAAAGTGCAACACCTCACACTATCTGTATCGAATTGTATTTGCCAATCCTCAGCCCACTTCCCTATCTGATCAAGATCCCTCTGTAATTTTTGAAAGCCTTCCTTGCTTCAACGATACCTCCTAATTTTGTATCATCCGCAAACTTACTAATCACGCCTTGTACATTCACATCCAGGTCATTTATGTAAATAACAAAGGTCCCAGCCAACCCCTGTGGCACACCACTAGTCACAGGCCTCCAGTCCAAGAAACAACCTTCAACCACCACCCTCTGCTTCCTACCATCAAGCCAAATCTGAATCCAACTAGCTAGCTCTCCCTGGATCCCATATGACCCAACCTTCATGACTAGCCTGCCATATGGGACCTTGTCAAAAGTGTTACTGAAGTCCATACAGACAACATCCACTGCCCTACCCTCATCTATCCTTTTGGTGCAGCCAGGTTTTCACGTTTCTCCTCTCTAACTTAAAATTTTCCAGAACTATCCAAGCATTCAGAGTCTTATACAATACTCCTCTGACCCTCATCATTGCTCCTTTAGTTTTACACTGTTATCACTAATTATTTACTATCTCCTATCCCCCATCCCATTATATGATAGCTTATTCTTTTAAATCTCTTGTAAAAATATATTCTTCACACGCTTCCTGTTTATTTGTGATAATCCCTTTGTGAGAACTAGAATTATTATTTGAAATGTTAATATTTGGAACTTCTCAACAGACAGTACCAAGCCTGCTGTACATTACAGTTTCTTCTGCTTGCGTTTCAGATTCCAACATCCTTCTATTTCTAGTTGCATCTTACAGGATTGAAGTTGTTTTCATTTAAGCAGATGACTACAAGACAGATACATCCACTTATTAAAGCAGCTTCTTTGAAATAACGGGGAGATCAAATCTACATTCGGTGATCGATTTGTTGAACACAAGAGTGACCTAGAGCTTCTGATCACTTGATTTCCCACTCCACGCAATGAAGCTCAACAAATGACAATCTCTCTTTTAATTAGACATCCTACAATCTTTCAGTCTCAACACTGAGTTCAACAATTTCAAATCATTACCACCATTCTCATTTTTGCTGTAAACACAGCAGGTGCTGGAAACGGTTCTTTCTGGTCTTGCCATCCAGACCCATGTTTTGTTCTTGATTTGCCCCAGTACCATTCTCTTTTGCTTTTCACCATCATCCTTTTGTCATTTGAAATCTCCTGCCTTCCACACTCTCAAGCACCTTTGTTCTGAGCTGACACTTTAATGTCAAAGATTGTAAACTGGAGCCCCAACTGCACTCGAAGGTGAATTTTTAAGAAATAAATCGTTCGGCATTATTCTGAAGAGCAGGGGCGTTGCTGGTCAATATTTATCCCTCAACCAATATCACTAAAAACAGATAAAGTCGGAGTTATTACACTGCTGTTTGTGGGAACTTGCTGGGCATAAACAAACTACTATGTTTCCTGTAAGTTAGTAGCAACTAAGCTTCAAAAGTGCTTCCTACCATCGAGCAGCGCGGAACATCATGAAGTCAGGCCAGGTGCTCTATAAATGCAGCTAAATCTTTTTGTTGTTTCCCTCCTTCCCTTCCTCTGTTCTTGCTCAAAACCTGTTACGTCACAAGTTTTTTCCAGTTTTGATGAATGGACATTAACTTGAAACTGAATTCTGTTTCTTCTTTCTCAACAGATGCTAAATGATCTAAGCATTTCAGAACTTGCCATTTATATTCGTGAAATTCTCTTTTTTAACAAGTAATGCAGCTGTTACCTCTCCAATTAGTGTTTTGTAGAAGCAGTCAATGGTTCCTTTGAACATGGGAGCTTGGCCAGGAAGAGGCTTTGGTTGTGTCTGTAACCGAACCTAAACACGATGTACCATAAGACAGTGATTAGCTTTCTATTCAGAAACACTTCCAGTAATTTTACAAATTCGTCAGCAGATCAGAAAAGGGCAAAAACTAAGTAAGAATCAAAACTGTCTATAATTGTTGCTCAGCAGTATTTGCTGACTCCAAAACCTCAGGGCAACTGAGCCTGTATACTCATTTGGAAATGCATACATATATTGTTCCAGACCCTCTCCACCATTGCGTCAGGTGCAGCACATGCAAAGAATAGGCCCAAAACTTAAATACAGTTTGGCAGCAGAAAAAGCATCAGGGATGGAGAGGGAGAAAATCAAAGGGTTTTCTTTCATTCTTACGCCCTGACCTGTTGGCCTCCCCACCCCACCCCACCCACACCACTGATTCTCCCCACGAGTTTGATCACCCCCCACCCAATCTCCCAGGTTCCTTTCTCCCCCTCTCTGCTTCTTCCAAACTTCCTAGCTCACATTTCCCTTGCGGGTTTTGATCTCTCACTCTCTGCCCCCACCCTAACCCGTACAAAATAGGCACATGATTGAAAGACTTAAACAAATCTCATGCACTAGCACACGTGCAAGCAGCTTTCTATAGCATGCTGTGCATGCTCCTTGGTGTCAGAAGACACAACCACATAACTATCCAACTTCAAATTGAGAAAATTCACTTTAACCCCATCTTATTTGTGTTCTTGACCATTGAAGTGTAAACAATGATACTCAATGTGGGAGAGAAGAAAATATAAAAATTACTTTCATTCTCAACAGGGCAACGAGGCAAATAGCTATACATGATTAAGGCAACAAGGATACTCTTCTCACACTGGAGATGAAGAGGGAGCTTGGTACTCTATCTGACTTCAACTGTACTCAATAATGATTAAGTCGGAATGGACTTGTAATTCAGTTACATTTTTCACCTTAAAAGATGCAAAAAAATGTCCTGGTCCAAAGTTGTTCTATTTTAATGGCATGGCAGGGAAGAAAATGGGGATTTTCTTAAATTCTTACTTTTTGGAAATGCCATAATACAACATTAAGCATAGCTGAGCAACAAAGGAGTAAAACCTAAGATTTGGAAAATTGTGTTAAAGTTTCAGCCTTACACTCTCCAGTCTTAAATCAAGAGCTAATTCTCCATCTTAGAAATGTTATCCCTAATCTTTGCTCCAAGTCCACCAATCCATCAAATTTCATATTCTTATCTGTACATTCAAATCCCTCTATGATCTAGTTTTACCCAACTGCTGGAAGCTCTTGCTGTCCAACACTGCAACCTGGAAGAACTCTAGGTTTTGCCAATTCTGGCCTCTTATGCATCCCAAAAATTGGCACACAGAGAAGGCCAAAACAGGAGGAATGAACATTCTTGGGAGTCGTGGGACCAACGGCAGTTACAGAGATTTGTAAGGATGGAGTCATTGGGTAAGTTAAAACAAGGGTAAGAACTTTAAACCGACTATTCTCAGATCAGGACTTGGTGTGAGTTAGAGTACAGGAAGTAGAACCTTATAAACAAAAGTGTTGAGTTGAGAAGATCAGCATAATTGCATAGATGCAGACAGACCTGAGACAGGTATGGAAGTATATACTGATGGAATTAAATGGAATGAGGCATTTGTACAATATAAACATAGTGCAGGTGAGTTAAATGATCTTTTTGGTGCTGTTAATCCCATGAAATGCAAAATAATCAAGGCCAAGAGTCTGTGAGTTTTAGAAAAAGAGGACAAAATTTGAGCAAAGCCTTCAAGACACGAGCTAAAATCCTATGTTCCCCTCTAATAAAACATATGACAAAACTAGACAAAAAGTTTAAAATAATATTAAGTTAAAAATAGAAATTTAATATGTTGTACATAAAATCATTCAAATGAAAAACAAACAAATGCAAAAAATTTTGCAAAAGGTTAAATGTGAAGCAAACAAAAAGAATATTTTCCAAAGTTTTAAACAAAAATAAACAAATGCACTCTATCTTGCATTAAAAATGTAAACTAAATTAACTGAAATGCAGTTTTTGCACATAAGATTTCAAGTAGAAAAAAAACAAATGTAGTACACTTTGCATTAAAAACGTTTCAAATTAAACAACACACAAAAGTGCACTATATTTTGCATTTAAAAAGTTTAAACAAATGCAGCATTTTGGTGCATAAAAAATTAAAAAATTTACATAATGGAAGAACATAATATAACACATTCAATACAGCACAGGAACTTTGGCTCACCAAGCCTGTTACAATTCCTAATCCTTATTTAGATCTGTTATTTTTTGCCCATGCTTGGTTTCTATCCCTGTTCGACTCCCATTCATACGTTCATCGAGATATGCCTTAAACCATTGCTAACGTGCCTGCTTCCACTGGCACAGCTACAGACACCTACCATCCTGTATGAAAAATTTTCCCTACACTTCTCCCCTAAACTTTCCCCCTCTCACCCTGAATCTGTGCCCTCCTGCCATTAACCTTTCTACCCTTGGAAAAAGCATTTGACTATCCACCCTACTCACACCTCTGATAATTTTGTAGCCCTCTATCAGGTCACCCTCAGCCTCCATCATTCCAGTGAAAACAATCTGAGTTTATCCAACCCAAGTAAAACCCTCCAGACAAGGCAACATCCTGGTAAACTTCTCTGCACCCTCTCAGAACTGCACGCAATATCCGAATATGACCTAACTACATTTTCGTACAGCTGTAACATAACTTGCCAACTTTTACATTCAATGAAGGCAATCATGGCTGATGAAGGCAAGGTTTTTGACCACCTTATCCATCTGTTGCCACTTTCAGGGATCTGTGGACCTGTTCATACAAAATGCAAACACAATTATGTTCACATAGTTATTTAAGTTCACACAGGTTGCTCTGCCTTGGGGCACGATCACCTGTTGCAAGGCGAGCAGGTGCAGCCCAGGGCCAGGCCTTGGAGACCCCGGCCACCCCGCATTCAGATGGCCCAACCATTCCCCTCACCTTGATAGTGTCCAGCGGGTGCCCAGCAAACACCAGGCACACCCCGCCAAAACCTCCGGCGAAGAAATTCTTGATAGGATTGATTGGCTGCGGCTGCGGCGAGCCGGGCTTCTCCTTTTCCGCTGACATGTTTCCAAAGAGCCCGGTCACCGAGCATCGACCTTTGCCCGAGATCGGACCGCCCCGGACACCTTTCCCGGTTGCACCAACCGCTCAACAACGACGGCAGTGCACCCACCAAATACGACCCCCGAGTAGCGTAGCCCAACCCTGAGCAAATTGCTCATTAGTGATAGTAGG